AGACAGAGCCTCAAGCTGTCCCCCTGGGTAGAGTGCCGTAGCATCACAGCTCACAGCAACCTCCAACTCCTGGGCTCAAGCGAGTCTCCTGCCTCCACCTCCAAGTAGCTGGGACCACAGGCACCGGCCACAATGCCCAGTTATTTTCTTTTGGTTGCAGCCATCATTATTGTTTGGCAGGCCTGGACTGGATTCGAACCCTCCACTTTAGGTGTATGTGGCTGGCGCCTTAGCCGGTTGAGCCACAGGCATCGAGCCCAGAGTTACTTTCTTTACCCTCCCATGCTCCCATTGCTCCATAGACTTGTTAGGACAAAGCTTGAGCCTCCTGGATTCAAATCATAGTTTCGCCACTTTCTGTGAAGTTACTGAACCTGTCCATGCCTCACTTTGTCAAAGAACAGGTTACTAATTCTAGGTTTTCAGACTCCAAAATCCACACTTTCTTCACATATCACACCAGAATATAAATATTCTGGATAGGACCAGTCAGTGCTTCTATTTGTCCTAGATTCTACCTCCTTGTCCAAAAGTGATTTCCCTTTCCATCCTTCTAACATAGGTCAGGGGACTGACTCACCAGCAAACATGCATAAGAAGTCACTCCACCAGTTAACATGATAGGTCCATAGAAGATCTGACTCCATGACATCTCTAACATGCCAACGAACCTGTGCCACAAACAGGCTGAGGCAGAGGATCAAGCAGGTGGCTAGGACCAGTAAGAAAGGTGTCACAACCCATCGTGTCTTCAGTCTACCTTGACCACCACCCCCAGCTCTTTTTCTGCCTCCAGAGCCCGTATGTAAGGCAAGGATAAAAAGTACAAAAGCTTGAGGATCAACCAAGATAAGGGAGAGAAAGGAGCCTCTACCTTAGTAAGGTCAGCTAAGGTGTGTTCCATAAAATAAGTAGCTGGCAACCTGGTGTTGATACCCAATGAGAAGAGCAAAGGGAAAAGAAAAAGAGTTTGAAAGCCCCACAGACTTGACTATTTTGCATGGTATTACCCTGCTCGTCTAGGTCTGTACCTGAGATAAAGCAGAGCATGGACACCTTCAGATCTAGTTTGGTTAAGTTTCTTCTTCCAGGGAGGCAAGAGCTGAAGAGCCAGCCAATGCCAATGAGAATGATGATGAGAGAGACGAGGAAGAAGGCCCTGGAAAAGAGGAGAAAATCTGCAAGAAGAGAGGAAAGGAAAGGTCTGATTAGTCCAGCGTGGGACCTCCCCTTAAGAAAGCCAGATAGAGTCTTTGACAAGGGAGTAAAGACAAAGCAGAGCTTGCCACGTGGCACCCTGTTTCCTAGCTCTTCATCAAATTTATCCTAATCTAATATTTGCCTTCTAAGTTTAGTGTTGTTCTCCAGAATATGACACTATAACAATATGATCTATAATAGTTATTTTCATTAAAAGAAACCACACGCCTACTTACAGAGATACGTTTTTCTGTAGCTCCAACATGTTAGCCAGATTACAATAATTCAAGAGCAACACATTTCCTACAGACCTGGGTCATTCAGAATTAGCAATATATATAGCCAGCCAGTACCACCAGTTCAGACTGAGCTATAAAAAGCCCAGTGCAATAGGCATCTTTGCAGTTTTTAGCCCATGATCCCCCGTGGAACCTAGCAGCTCTTATCTATACTCCTGGACCATTGCCTCAGTCCCCTGACTGTAGCAAACTGGACCAAGGAAGGGAACCTGACTCATTGGAACAATCTTATTTTTGTGCTTAGAAATTTAGATTGCCATTTTGGTCACTTGAACTAAGAAGTTGTAATGTTAGGGCCAGGTAAGGTGGGTAATGCCTGTAATTCCAGCACTCTGGGCAGCTGAAGCGGGTGGATTGCCTGAGCTCAGAGGTTCAAGACCAGTCTGAGCAACAGCAAGACCCTGTCTGTACTAAAAAATAGAAAAATTAGCCAGGTGTTGTGGAGGGCGTTTGTAGCCCCAGCTACTCGGGAGGCTGAGGCAGGAGGATCACTTGTGCCCAGGAGTTCAAGGTTGCGGTGATGTAAGTCGATGCCCTGGCACTCTAGCCTGGGCAGCAGAGTGAAACTCTGTCTCAAAGTGCTAGGATTACAGGTGTCAGCCACCTCACCTAGCCTGATTCTTCTGAATCTTTATAAATAAGTTCACTCTTTAGCTTATCCTAGATGAAATGATTCTATAAATAATATTCAGAATACTAAAGAGCATGTCAAAGATATCTCCTATCCAACTTCTCTAAGATATAAAGCCCAGTTCCTCTTTTACCATGAGGGAAAACTGTAACTTCATATTCTCCTTACAATCTTTTCTGTCTTAGCTCCTCATCGCCTGAAATATACATAAACAAGTTTCTCACAACTCCACAGGAGCTGCTACAGATTTGCAGCATGGAAGAGTCTAACCAAATCTGCTAGTAATAATCATATATACAAAAAAGCTGCAACCTAACTAAACACTTAGCTTCAGGCTCTAAAACATCTGCATTTGGTTAACGTCATAGCTTTTTCATGCATGTAAGTAAAAAATGAAGTGGTCTCAAAGCTGAATTCGGCTTGGTGCCTGTGGCTCATGTGGCTGGGGCACCAGCCACATGCACCTAAGGTGGCGGGTTCAAATCCGGCCCAGACCCACCAAACAACAATGATGGCTGCAACCAAAAAATGGCCAGGCGTTGTGGCGGGTGCCTGTGGTCCCAGCTACTTGAGAGGCGGAGGCAGGAGACTCACTTGAGCCCAGGAGTTGGAGGTTGCTGTGAGCTGTGATGCCACGGCACTCTACCCAGGGGGACAG